AGGAGGAGCTGGACCTCTCCCCATGCTCCTCCCCAGTGCCCAGCTTTTCCCACGCCACCAGTCACTGGGGGGCTGGCAGGGAGATGGGCAGCACCCTGTGCCACGCATGCCCTGCCTGTGTGCACACTGGTCCCACACGGGCTCCTGGGTCGCTTCCCAGTAAGGACGGCCCTGCCACCCTAGCACTTGGGAAATTCATTCCCCTCGTGTTGTTTGCCTCTTTGCCAGGAAACTCGTTTGCAGCTAACGAGCCACAGAGCCTCTGCATCTCACCCCAGTCAGCTCCGTGGGCAGCAGTGCTGCCCAGTCCGCTGCCCGCCTTGCGGCGAGGGGACGCAGCCTCGTGCCAACAGGCTGAGGGCGCACCGGGGCAGGGGACCTTGGGATGCTCACGTGTGCCCATGATGCCAGCCTGTCCAGAGCTGGTGCTGCTGCCACCCTGGCACCCCCCAGCACCTTGCACCCCCAAAAGAGCAGGACACTTGCCAGCTGGGTGCTGGGTAGTGGCCTCTCCCCTGCGTGACTCATCTGGGCCGGGACGGGCTTTTAATAGAAGGCTACTCAGCCTCACACCGGGCACAGAAATGCCACCTCCCACCCCGGCCATATGCTGGGCCCAGCCCCCGCGCACCCCACCACGGGTCCTGGCTGCCGAGGCTGGGATGGACCCCATCTCCCATGGGTCACGTCGTCATCCATCCCAGCACATCGTCGGTCCTGGCTGGGGGAGAGGGAGGGAGAGCCTGTCCATGTCCCCTCTGGGCTGGCGGTGGCAGCAGTGCATATTGCAAGGCCCACGTCGCTGCAGGGATGTGTCGCCACGCTCGGCCCAAGCTGGAGGTTTCTCTTGGCTTCGTGCCCAGGCACCTCGTGTGGCTGCAGCCTGGCCGAGGAGTGCCCAGGGCCCTCCAGCTACTGGCCTGGTTTGTTTGGGAGCCGCCGTGGGGCTGCTGTGAGAAGCACAACCCCTTCCCTCCACACGAATCGCAGCTCAGCGTGCAGGCAGCTGGAGGAGCAGAGCCTGCTCCCGCAGCCAGCCTGCTCTAGGTAATCACCGATTTGGAGCCATCATTAGGTTCCAGAGTGTACAGCCCAAGCAGGGGGTCGCCCTGGCACTGCGCACTCACAGACCCAAAGGCTTGGGGCATCCCCATGCCTGCATCTCACCTGCTTCCATCTCCCGCAGGTGTTCAGTGGGAAGCGCCCCGAGTCAGAGCTGCCACCCCAGCCGCAGAGCACACTCCGCAAG